TATATATATATATATATATATATATATATATATATATATATATAAGTCTTCTAGGTTGAGATGAGCTATTATTACTTAAGATGTTATAATCCAATAAGAAAAATCAAGAACGAACTGATGGTCGGATGCACAAATAGCGGAACTCTAATCTATTTGAGGAGATCAAATTTGAGAATTGCACATGATTTGATCTGATGAAGGAAATCATATCTGAGAAGTGTATAAGGGAGGATCTGATCAAAAGATAATGATATTTTTCATTCTCTCTTGAGTCATTTTCTTGATTATAAGTGTTAATACACAGTCGAAAGGATGATGATAAACAATAGACTATCATCTAGTTGTCAAATGTGGATCCAAAATGCCAGGGAATGCCCACCAAGCAAAAATATGTTATAGAGCATATTACTCTAGGAGATTGATAAGGAGTCGCAGGTCTTCATATTCGATGTAATGCTAGAATTCGAAAAAGCAAGAAAAATTATAAAGCAGCAATGGGATACACAAGGAAGAGAAATAGTGGTTGCCAGTGGGATGAGAAAGAGGGAGCATGGCTTGAACCAAGAAGGCTCTAATACCATAAAGAATTTATAAAGAAAGAGATGATATTATTGAGGTAATACATATTTATATGAGAAATTTCTTTTAATCATATGCTAAAATCATATGATTATAAATATATTATTAATGCTTAATTGATTGAGAATTAAAATATAAAAAAAAATCATTCTATATTATGATATTCTATCACCAGTGACTTGCATGATGACTGACTTCTACAAAGACACAATTCCAAGAGAATCTCCAAACTCCTTCAACATCCTTTGCAGCCAACATTAATACAAACTGACCAATCAAATCAGATCAAATTTACAATAAGAATGACAACAGAAGCGACATAGACTCCTGCATGTATCTACATTGCCAGTGATGCACAGTAAGTGTAAAAGAATCAACATGAACTCAAACGGGACTCAGACGGAGGCATCTGCGCAACTGCTCCCTCTTCAACCCATGGCTGCTGTCTCCAGCAATGATCTGCTCATACAGTTGCCTTATCTTGAGACCAATGATGGTTTGGAAAAGGCCAGTCCCGTCGTTGCTGCCAGGAAAATCTGCATGCTTCAGCATCTGCTGTGTCACCTCTCCATAGTACTTCGTCGACAGGTTGCTCAGATGGCTCTCAACATATATCAGCTCATCTAGTCTGTCAAACTGCCCATCCATCTCCAGTACTGAAGCCTGAAGAAGAAGAAGAAGAAGACACAGTGGAGATTCAGCTTGGAGAAGTAAAAGAATGTGACTTTGAATGTGAAGTTACCTCATCAGAGAAGTATGTGTCTGGGCCATAGAAGAATCTGATGCCAGGATATGAGCAACTTAGCTTTCCACCACAAGGTGTCCATGAAATGGTGGAGCCTTCATCGAAAAGGTAGACCGGGGTGAAGTGCTTCACCCCTTCCCTCATCACCAGTCGAACTCTCAGTACCTCTGTTGCACTCTTATCTGGAATCAACCGGGTTGGTAGAACTTCTATTACGACATCGGCGAACTGCTTTTGTGGATCTGACAGAGAAGCAATGTCATGAAATCCATGTCCTGTGATCCAAGTTGCTAGATTAAGAATCAGGATGTACCAATATACATATCGAAATCGGATTTCCGAGCTTTGATGCTGGCTTTGATGCTCTCGAGACTCTCCCCTCGTTCTGCCATATCTCGCTGCAATGTGCATGATGCCGTGGAACCTTAGCTGCGAGATTGACAACAGATGTTTCTGACCCAAATCAGAAGCGAGTTCTGTTTCTACTGACCTGAATTTTCCATGCAAACTTCACCTCGTTGCTTATATCCAAGTAGATACTGAAGTCCAGGAGACTCCTTATGCGTGGATCAAACCTGAGAGCAGAACATAAGAAAGCCATTTGTCAGTCACAGTAGCAAATGACACGAACATTAGACTCTAATAATACTATCAGGTCATATCAGAGATTGGAGATGCATGAGGAGCAGCAGGAGGAGGTAGCAGCAGCAGCAGCAGGAGAAGAGGAAGGAGAAGGAGAAGAAGTAGCAGCAGCAGCAGAAGAAATTATGACAAATCAGACATTAGTGAATGATCCAAAACTATAAGAAATCACGACAAATCAAACATATAGTCGTGACTGGGATCAGAGTAACAAGTGATATGTAACTCACAGTGGATGCAAGCCTTCGATGAACAGGATGTTTGGTGGGCGTATCAGCTCAGGTGGATCCAAGCGGCCAGTGACATGGTTGTATACAGGCTTTTCCACGGCCACCCCACTCTTGAGGGCTCTCACCTGCTCGTACATGAGATCGAAATTGTTAGCCTTGGGATCCAGCGCAGTGACACATTTCTCCTTCCTCCCTTCCCTGTCCAAGGCGTGGTAGTCATCGAGGCATATCACGGTGGTGGCGTCACCGACAAGTGTGTTGGAGTAGGCGTTGCACCCCCTCGGTGGCTCCGCCACCCCCCCGAGGACACTGGTCAGCCTCCTCATGAAGGTGCTTTTGCCGCAGCCGGAGTCTGCCGCCAGCCCGATCACCACCGTCCTGGTCTCAGCCGAGCACGACACCCGGGTCCAAGCTCTTCTCCTTGCCTTCCCCCGGCTGACGCAGAACATGAGCTGCTTCCGGCACGAGCCGAGGTGGCTCTCCGAGCAAGAGCACGGCATAGTAACGCGGTATAGCGAGCAAACCGACATGTTTGCGAAGAAGAGAACGGGATAGTACACAAGCTGTGCCTCTCTCTCTCATGGCTGTCATCATTATATAGCAGTGATCGGACCTGCCCACTGTATCGGACATGAGCGTTGATTCAGTGGCGGCGAGTCAAAACATCGTCAAGCTCCATGTCCACGTTGATGATCAAAGCGGTGCTCGAGCTCTCTGAATCGATGGGAGGCACGCCATCTGCCCAAACCTACAGGCTGCCGCGGATACCATGTCGGTGTACGCCAAAGCCACCTGGACTTGTCGGCTGTTCTTCGAGCGGGCTTCGTGGGACGACGCCGGCCCAGATGAAGCCATGCCGAGATGCCACCAAAACCGCACCCGGTAACGCTTTATCGAACGCCCCGAAATGAATCCATGGGCTAAAGTGCCACCACATCACAAGCAAACTTTGCGACGTCAAGTATTATAATCTACATCGTCTTTCCACTGATGAATCCAGTGTTAGCAGGCCACAGAAGGAAGCCGAAAGCATACTTTTCGTGTAGTTAGCACTTTAAATAATGTCCGCAAACAGTATCTCGACACAATGTTGGATCAAATTTCGAAGTAATTAAAGCGTATACTCAATATTTTTTTTTCTTTCTTCATCTGTCTATTAAAGAAGTTTTAAATATACCTAAAATTTTAGATATATTTAATAATAGTTCACATTTAAGACTAGTAAGCGAGCAATGACATTAATGATTCTAATAACGGTAGCTTTTTAATTTATCCTTCTATATAAAGCCTTAAAAACATTCCTACAAAATCTAAAATATATTCATCGTAATTTTTAATAAGCTATTCTCAAACCTTCAAGATTCGTGTTTTTGCAGATCAATGGATCTCGACGGACGGAGGATTTGAACTCGGAAAGAACGCCACGTGGGCTTTCTTTCCCACGGCGGTTCATTATCACGTGCAAATCACGTGACATCAACACATAATGATACCTTAGTTCTTTCCGGGGACAGGCTCCGTCTCCGCCCTTCACCACCCTTTCGGCGCTACCCTCTCTCGCTCTCTCTCTCTCAGTGATGAGCTTCGAGGGAATCGACGAATGGGATGAGAACTTCCTCGACGAAGCGATTCGCATTGAACTCGAAGCTCTATCGTCAAGAAACCTCCCTTCCGACCCACCGGAGCCAACAATCCTTCGCCCTTCTTCCTACGCCGACCTTAATTCATCCTCTCGCCCTCACCGTGATGCGATCGAACCCCCATACGGTCGCGTCCAATTGCATTCGGAGCGGGAGCCGGAGCCGGACTCCTTTGCTCCCATACCTTCTTTTGGTCTCGGCGCAAGGGGTCTGGCTTTCGACGTTCGCGGTGGAGGCCTTAGCTTCTCACCCCCACGGGAGCTCTCCCAGAGACATGTGGAGAAACCTAACTCGGAGATGGATTGCGAGATCTTGGAACCTTGGATTTCACGGGGTGAACGGTTCAGCGGCGGGGGCATAACCGAGAGGGACAGGGAAGTAGAGAGATTAAAGGTTAGCTTTCATTTTTGGTTGACGTCTCAAGATTGAAGGGTTCTTGCTACTTTTCTTCGTAATGTTAGGGTTTATTGGAAACAGTTGGTGTTTTTCTGCGACGACTTAGTTTTGTGGCAAAGTTCAATTTTTTTGGGGCTTTGGGATCTGATGGAATGAAATGATAGCATCCGAATATGCCTTAAAACACCTTATCCCTCCTCTCCCTCACTTCAGTCTCCATTTTCTTGTATTCAAACGGTGCTTTTCCTCCTGAATTGGCCTTGGCACACCAACCTCACTCCGGTCTCCATTTTTTTTCCGTCGTCTAATGCGCAATTGACAATTTAATGGACAAGAGACAGAGGCCTGAACGCAGGGCTGAGTCTCCAAAATGGAGGTATCATGATTTTCTGCATCATTTGACTCACATATTAAGAATCTGGAAACCAAAAAAATAAATATTTCTGAGTTAATTACTCTGTGGTAACTGAATCCACATGTTCACAAGTATGTTCTTTTCGTGACACTTGAACGAGTATCAAAGTATTTTTTTCTCATATCTACTTATCTTTTTCTTAAATGAGCGATGAGTTGCGTGTTTGTCTATACTCTTCCTGTTTTGGATTTGAAGTGAGTATTCTTTTGGAATGTAGGCCAAAACTGTCTATTCGGGCTTGACATAATTGTACCAATCTTTTTTCTAGAAGAACTTGCCTTTTCATTGACACAGTTATACATCCTTAGGAATCTGCCGTGTTTATTTTTTCACTTATTTTTATTCTTGTACACTATAAAAAATGAAGTGCTGCTAGAAATTGGTGTCCTTTTTTCGTAAATGCTTTTGAATTTTGTTGTTATTCTGAAGAGGATCTGACTTATCCTATATGCACATCTCAGAGGGAGTTAGGCCGTGTCTCCAAGCATCTCAAACACTTGGTACATTTCTAAACCTTTGTATTCCTCATACTGAAATTTGTTTCATGACCATTAGTGATAAATCACTTGGGACCTTATACATTTTTTAATGCATTATATACTATTTAGATGGTAGCATTGCTATTCCACTTTGTTGTACATAGTAGTTTTAGTCAAACTAAGAGTCAGCAAATCCATTTGTATTGTGTTTGATAAAGTTTTATCAGGTCATTATCTGCTCACCCTCTTCTGAAATAACTAGCATCTCAAACACTTGGTACATTTCTAAACCTCTGTATTCCTCATACTGAAAATTGGTTTAATAACCATTGGTGATCAATCACTTGGGACCTTAAACATTTTTCAATGCATTATATACTATTTAGATAGTAGCATTGCTATTCAGCTTTGTTGAACATAGTAGTTTTAGACTTTTAGTCAAACTAGGAGTCAGCAAATCCATTTATATTATGTTTGATAAAGTTTATCAGGTCTTTATGTGCTCACCCTCTTCTGAAATGACTCATTTTGTTAGTTGGCTCATTTTGTGGTTTCTTTTACACATGTTCAAATCATTTTATTTGTGTCCTCCATGTTATATCCTCATTCAAGTTACTTCTAATTGTTCACAAATTTAAATTTTATTTTATTTTTCTTTATTTTTTTAGTGATAGAATTACTAAAGACTCTTCTGTTGCTCTCATACTGGACTCCCCAGGACCAGTTGATGGAATGATATTGGAGGTTATCCTCTGCATTCTTAGTGCAACTGCAAAATCATTCCCTGCATATTGCGATATTGATATTGGAAGAACTGTGACCCATAATATGCATTTGGTTGACTAATTGGGTAAGGCATGCCTACACCCTCAACGTCCTCCAAGTCCACAACGGCATTGATTTTCCTAAGCAATGAATTATTTTATTTTGTGTTACTTTTTTTTAATTTCTCAATCACATGTTCATGAGCCATTACCTGTATAGCTTTTGCATTTTTGTGTTCAAGAATTTGTAGCAACAAATGTATGTGAAAATTGGGCTATTTGCATGAAAAAATTGTGCTTGTCTATTACTTGTCAACTTAAGGGTTTTGTTTTGTTGTGGATGATGCTATATGGCATTGGGTGATCATGTCATCTGTTGCAGTGTGTGATGTTTGTGATTGTGCCAATCACATGGCAATGCATGGGCACATGATTATTTCATGGTCGATCAAGGGTTGCTTTTTTAAAGGTATGGTATGTTCATGCCTTGTGTTGCATTAACACTATCACCTTGCTGAGGGTTGTATAGGCACTTCCTTAGCTTGGTGAGAGATTATGTTGATGTCTTTTATGTATGGAATGTAATGATACATCTTTAATTAAACAACGTCTTATATTTAATGCTATATTAGTCAACTATTTTGTTTTGAGTTATAAACTCATATCCACATATATTGATCTCACCTTTTATCATTAATCCCAAATGGTATATATGTACAGGAACGTGAATGCACGGAACTAAAAAAGGAAAAGACCAAGAAAGATGAGCAACTTAAATTGGTCTTTTCAGAGATAGAAGCTAAAGAAGCTGAGATCTACAATTTGAAAAGTGGGAAATTGTTAGTGTATCTGCTTTCCCTCCACTTAATCCTTTTCTGTTTCCTGAATCTCTTTTGTTATTTTAGTCACCTAGATAAGGTATTACAATAAGAATGCTATATTACTGTTAAATTGCATCTCATGACATGGTTATTTCTCCTAGCTAGATGTGGTTATGCTATTACAGTAGGATCACTATTCAATTTTCATTTCTTGGTCAACTATTGTACTAGCTGGGAAACCGTGAGAATTCTTTGACATATGAATTCAAAGATATCTGCAGCAAAATGACTTCTTTTTCAGTTGGTACAATTTCATACCAATCAACTGCCTTATCTGTTGATGTCTTGCTGATGGCATATGTTATTGGTCATCATCAACCTGTTGAAAACCTGCCTTTTTAGCCATCTGATCTCTTGAATATGTGCTTCAAGGTTACAAGGATACTTTGGTATTCTTGCATGATATTGAAATGTTTCTGGTACTTTTTGGATATTTTTTGATATATGCTTGACACTTTATTGAAGTGTCCAATTATTTTAATGGTTTTGATTAATTTATATACTGATAAGACCCTGGGGTTTTATCTTGAAGAAATGGGAGAAAAGGGGATGATCACTTCGAGGGGACCGACCTCCTAGGGTTTGTCAAAAGACTAAATAATATTTCATTGCTTGTCGAAAAGAAACGGTTACATCACTATTTATAGAGTTCCACCTAAAGTCCACCAGGACTTGGACTCTTAATAATAAATAAATATTAAATAAACTTCTATCCGGCTCTAACTGAACTAAACAGACTCAATAAACATTATTCAAAAGCTCAGAAAATAAAAGGGTCCTAATAATTCCTCCCTCTTCAAATCAGCCTTGTCCTCAAGGCTGAGCAGCATCAAACTCAGGGAGTTTCTCTTTCAGCACTTCAGTCATAGGGTATCTACGGCGCATCGCAATTCATTGATCGAGTAAGTACGGTCTCCACTTCTTGATAGTGTAAGTAATAGGTTAGCCTTTTGGTATTGTAGTCTTCTGAAAAACCCTCTCCATCCGATGGCTAGTGGCAGTTGTGACCTTACTTCCACGTCTTCCCTTTAGGATCTTCTGCTTTTCATTAATAAAAAACTTCACGATTAGTTTAGAAAAATTTCACAAAACATCACCCAAGGTTGATAGTCATTCAATTCCGAGCACCACTTCGAAGTCTTCTAAGGGTAGCAAAAAGAAGTCCACAAGAAACTATTGGCCTTGAAAAGTCAATTTAATCCTTGAGCACTTGCTATCATGGGTTAAAATCTATCCATCGACGACATTTATTTCTAATTTGTTAGTCTTCAATGTGGTAGGTCAATCAATCGGGAACCTTACTGTCCATAAAATTGTTAGTGCTACCAGTATCAATCAAAACTGTAACATGTTAATGTTCCAAAGTTCCTCCAACTTTCATAGTTTGCGAGTTTGAGTAGCCGGCTAATGCATGCACTGTATGTATGATAGGTCCAACATCGTCATCAGAATCCGTACCTTCATGATCGGAGTCTACATTATTAGCTTCCGGTTCCTCCTCAATTGGTTCAATCATAGGAAGTTTCCATTACATCGGTGCTCCCTACTCCACTTTTCATCATAGTGCCAGCACAAACCCTTCTCTGATCTTTCCTTGAGTTCTTCTCTGTTAGTCTTTGAGTGTTAGGGTTCCGGTTGGGAATAGTTGGGGCGGGTGGCTTGTTGATCATCTGTTTGTTATCACTTATGTTTCGACGATTTTCCCTGCTGATTTTTTCCTCATGTAAACGTGCAAATGATATCGCAGCGATCATAGTGCGGGGTTGACGAGCTTTGACTTCACACCGAATACCTAGATTAAGTCCTTCGATAAATGTACGCACAAGTTGTTGTTCAGACCAATCTCTAGTTTGATTTGACAATCTTTCAAATCTGCTCTGATATTCCAACACTATAGAAGTTTGATGAATTTTGGCGAGCTGTCCATCAACATTCTCGTATTCAGATGGGCCAAAGCGAACAAGAAGCCTCTTTTGAACTGCTCCCACGAAGGAACTCCATGGCAAGTTTCATACCAATCATACCACTAGATTGCATCTCCGTCTAGCTGGATTAAGGCTATTTCTACCTTGGATTCTTCTGGGGTCCCGTGAAAACGTAAAAAATTTTCTGCGCTAGAGATCCAACTAGTCAGATCCCCATCTTCCCATCTCGGAAATTCTACCTTAATGCGTGGGTAGTTTGTATCACAATCTTGGGGCTCTTTTCTTGTATCTCCAAATCTGTTCAACATAGAACTTGAGTTCCCATCATGTTGAAATCTACTAAAGTGCTCCAATAAGCTCTTTTTGAAATCGTGAAGGGTTTCTTGTGGCCAATTCTCAATTCTGGTTTCCAATACTTCCATTTGTGTTTTTACTGAGTTAACGGTAGCCATTGTGTAAGATTGTAAATCTGTAATCCCTTGTTCTTGTTTTTGATGTCTGGTCAAGGGCATCAGCACTGTCCTATTTGGTGTTGTTGCTATAATGCTAATCGGTGGCAGCACTGTGGGAGTGAAGGGATGCTGCGAGGTTGCGAGATGTAGCTATGGTCGCTGCGTGGGAGATAGCGATGCTTGCTGCGGAGGGCCGGGAGGCAATGATGGTGGTGCGGTTGGGGGCAGCGCCGTTGAGGGCTAGTCATTACGGTGGCTGCGGCGGTGGAGGACAAGGCTGTTGCGCGGATGGGAGGCAGCGTTGCCTTGTCTCTATCGAACTGCGAAAGGAGGCGTTGGCGACGCAGAGGGATCGCGGGTGGTTGAGGAAACAACGACGGCTGTAACGGTCGCTGTTGATGCCGGCGGCGAAGAGGGGAGGAAACAGCGGCGATCATAGTTGCCCAGTTTTAATCACTGCGAGGAGGGAGGGTCGAGCGGCTGCGGTTGCGACCCAAAGGGAGGCAGCGAGGGTCGCGGCTGGGAGCGGGTGGCGGTGGTGGCAACCGGCGCCTGCGGTAGCAGAGGGTGCTCTGTTTCTATCGCACCATAGAAGGAGCCGCTGGCGATGCCGAAGGATCACGAGCGGTTGAGGAGAAGGCTGGAAGCGATGGTGGCTCGGGTGGGATGCGGTGGTGTTGTGAATACCGGTGGAGAAGAGAATTGGTGGTGGCGCGGTTGGGAACAAGGGCAATCGGTGAGTTGCCCTGTTTCGGATGCCGCGAGGAGGGTCGAGCGGCTGCGGCTATGGCTGAAGCTGTGACCTAAGGGGAGGCAGCGATGGTGGTGCGGCTAGGGGCAGCGTCCCGACGGTAGAAGCGACGAGGGGGTGGTCTGCTGGTTGGGAAACAGCGGCTGTGGCGCAACGGCGACGGTGGTCAAGCGGCCGGGAAGCGGCGGCGGCGGTGGAGAAGGGGCAGTGGTGGTCGCTGGCTGGGAAGCAGGGGTTCCTTCTCGGTCGAGAAGGATTGGCATGCGTGGCTGCCGGCTTCACCCTTACTCTTTTTTTTTTTTTATGATAGCTACGGCAATACTGCAGCGAGAATGCCAAGGATCGCCGCTCTGATACCAAATGATAAGACCCTAGGGTTTTATCATTGAAGAAAGGGGAGAAAAGGGGATAATCACTTTGAGGGGATCGGCCTCCTAGGGTTTGTCAAAAGATTGAATAATATTTCATTGCTTGTCAAAAGGAAACGGTTACATAACTATTTATAGAGTTCCACCTAGAGTCCACTAGGACTTGGACTCTTAATAATAAATAAATATTAAATAAATTTCTATCCGACTCTAACCGAACAAAACAGACTTAATAAACATTATTCAAAAGCTTAAAAAATAAAAGGGTCCTAACATATACCTACTGGGTACTTGGGTGATGCTTGATAGATACTTCAATAGAGGAATTTATTTTCTTTGTTAGTCTTTTGATAATTGACTACACTTACTAAATAGATTTTGATTTTAGATGTTATATGCTGTTTGCTTTGATCATCCAATGATGCTTAATGAAATCTATTTCTGATCTCCTTGATTGTAAATTTGTGCTGCCTTCAATTCATTTTAAAACATTATTATGTTACAAATAATTTTTGCTTTAAAGAATCAGGGATACTTCGTAATTAATTGCTTGATATGTTCAATAAATTACAGCGTCATATCCTTCAGTGCTTTAATGGTGCAAGCTTTTGCATATAACATTATATACATTTGACAAATTTCTAGAGTTATTGATGTACTTGTACATATGATGTGAGCATCTTCTGTTGGTATCCATGTTTCATTTATGAGCTTGAAATTTCATTTTCTATATCTGTTTTACAATGAAAAAGTGTTGAAGGTCAAAATGATGTTGGTGTTAAGTGATAACACATGTGTTGGTACACCGATACATACCGGTGTTTCGGAAAGTAAGAAAAAGAATAAGAGGAAGGGGCAGTGTAGGAAGAGGATGAAGGAGTAAGAAAGAAGGAAGAGGAGGTGGAAGAAGTAGGAGGTAGAGGAAGAGGAGTAGAGGCGTACCTATGAGAAGCGGGGCGGTGGAGGAAGAGGGGAAAGGAGGAAGACGCAGAGGAGAAGAGGCAATTGTGTGAGAAGCGATTTGGGCAACGACATTGCATGGCGATGGTGTGACGAGAGTTCTCGGCATGTATGGGAAGTGGAAGAGGCATACCCATGAGAAGCAATTAGGGCAAAGACGATGCATGGTGGTCGTGTGCGACAAGGTCCCGGCGTGCATGGGAAGCGGAGGTCGCATTGAGAAGCAGAGGTTGGAACATGCAGTGCGCATGAGAAGCGATTAGGTTAGGAAAGTTTCCTATTTATATGACCGGACCGCACTGCTTTAAATAGGGGTGGTCTGCGTATTGATTGACGCTTGAATTTGTATGTACCACCTGTTTCGTACTAACCCATGACCGGTATGTACCGGTCAGTACCACATGGTACATTGGTATGTATTGGTGACTCAAAGAGAAAGAAGGAGAAGAGGAGGAGAGGCAGAGGAGGAAGGAGGAAAGAGGTAGAAGAAGAGGAAGGAGGAACGAGGAAGATAAAGAAAGAAAGGAGGCGGTGGAGGAAGGGGAAGAGGACGAAGCGTACCCTTTGGCGTTGGGCGACAATAGGAGGCAAAACGTGCGAAGAGGGCTCGTGAATGCGAGCCCTAAAGAGTCATAATTAAATATTTTCATTTTTGTTAATGGGTCGGAGAGGACCACCTGAAAAATACCACGCCAGGACCAGTAAATGCTGGCCATTTGGTCCTGGTCCAAAAAAAATGGTGGTCCATGCTCAATATGTCTATTTCCTCGAAGACAGCTTAGAATTGTAATAAAATATCTTAATTCTTGCTTCATTGTATTTCCTGTATTCGATCTTGACATGCATCAGATGGGACAGTATAGATATGAGCCTGTGCCTTCGTCCCTATGGCCCTTCAACACAGCTTTGACTATGATTTATATTAGTGTTTATTGTTACTAAGTCATCATCATTATTATTATCTTTTTGCAAAACCACAATTGAAATCAATGTTATTGTATTTTGCAGAGACCACCGTAAGTTGGATTTTCAAAATGCTGGGACTTTCATTGACCAGGCTTGTCATCATCCTGTTAATGAAGATAACTGTACTTGGCACACATCACAGGCTTTGGATGGGACATCAGATTTTGTGTATAGCAAAACCAAAGGAGAAAATGGACCTTCATCATCACTCTCTTTGGAGCCACGTATGTTTGAATGCAATGAACATAAAGTAGAACATGTTCAAACTACTGGATTAGCTGAGTACCATGGTTTGGTTGATAATAGTAAGAGTCAAATTACTTCCACTTTTTTCAACATTAGAAATATCTGCAGTTACATGTCTTCTGTCCTCCTGATGATTTTGCTTGTCAATTTTCATTTTATTAGGTTCGATTACCTGCACTGGTGTCAATATTCAGGTACTGACAGTCTTTTTTCTTTTCTTTTTTTTTTGCTATTTATTTCCCATACTTTTGAGGAAATTCTTGCTACTTGTTTTCTAACAAAATTGTTTTGGCTTCAATGTTAATACAGAAGAGTTGCTTTCCTAAGAAGGCTGCACAGTCAAAAGGGTGTAGAACTGTAGGAACACAAACAGAAATTTGTCAGGACTGGGGCCATTCTTCACTGGAGGATTTGACTGAGTACCACATTTCAAGCAAGCTGCTTAATATCTGGGATTTTCCAAATAGCCTAATGACAGGGAAGATTATGATTTCAAGGTTGCTTGTCTCTTGCACAGCGGATTTTTGTGTGCTTTTCAGGTGCATGAGTATGACATCCCACACAGATCTGGATTGTCATGCAGATAAAAGCTTTTCTCATCACATGACTTTGCATGATGATGCACAATCAGAACTATCACTTGATGCTTCTAAAGTGTCACGTCTCTATGCAATACTTACAAAGGTACAGCAGCATTCCTAAAGCACCATAAGTTTGTATTTGATCTAGCATCTTAATTATGCTAATTCGGAGTATAATCATTTTGTGACTTGCTTTTGCATTTAATATGATAGTGGAAAACATATAAAATTTAATCACAATACAAAGATATATACTCTATGACCATAACCAAGTTTCGTTGGAGCAATCTGGGGTAGGCAGGGTTCACCAACTTGGCCCATCTGTCACTGGGTCAAGATATTTTGAGTTGGATGGCTGGACCTGATCTATTTAAGGGGTTGGATAGGTTGGTGAGCTTTACATTTATTTATTCAGGAGAAAGCATATGGTTTGAACTTTGAATAGTGTCTAATTAATCTTCACTGATAAGGGAATATATGCTTGAATTAAAACATGACTTAATCTCCAGGTCAAAATTCTCCCAGCTGGTCCTGAAGAATGAAACCATCATATCAGTTTAAACAGGGTCAGATCTAGGTTCAGGAAACATGACATTGAGTGCCATTGAGTGTCAGCCAGGTTTGCCATCCTAAAATCGTAATTTGTAACTATGAGCTTTTATACTTAACCAGTTACGGTCCAACTGCTGATTCATGTCTTATTTTTATTACTTCATCTAACACAAGACTGGTTGATATATTTCTTGGCTAGATGGGCTCGAGACAGGCAACCTGATAGCTGAAGAGCTTATCTCATGTAGGCTGTAGAGCATGAATAGGGATCTTTGTAGCCTGAAACTTCTATTAATGGGTACGAACCTGCTAGGGAAGCTCCTTTGAAAACTTAATTATCTATCTGCTTCCACGACGTTCTGTTAGATACTTTGTGTTAATTAAGTATGGACTTGCAATAGGGATACAATTTGCTGCAGATATGCATTTATGAAAAATCTTGAACTAAAAGATACAAACTTATGGACAGACAATGAACAGGTCTGTGATCCTGTTACAAATATTGCTAGTTCCTCTTTTATAATATTGGAATAGACTATATGAGTATTCTAAAAGCTAAAAATTTAAGTGTGTACCATCATATTGAGAAAATAAGAACTTAAGAGTAATCAAGCAGTACTAAATGACATTGAGATCTATTAACCATATCAGATGCTTCACCTGATGGTATTAGAAGTGAGATTATCTTCAAGAGTAATTAACAAGAATATCCAGTAGGTAGCAGAATTTGTTTTATCCTGCAACTGTGGCAGAAGAATTTGTTAACATTGCTATCTAACACATGGTCATTTGAATAATATGCTTTTTAAAGTATTATAGTTCATAAGCTGCAAGAAAGCTGTGGACATGGAAAGAGTGGAGGAGGTTGAGTGTTTGGTGGCATAGAATGTTCCCTCTGAGGGTGGAGGTGAGTGAATGATGTGTCCCTGGAGAGTACTAGAACCTCCAGAGCTATTTTATGTTGGCATGTACTATGTGCTGATTGCACAAACTATTCACCATTGCTTGTTGTTGTGTTGTTGTGCACATCGATCAGTGGCTGCTGGTAGTGCTGAGTTAGAGTGACCTGTATGCAGCTCATTCAGATTTTTTTTTTGGCCTAACCAGGAAAAAAAGGTCCTGTGGTTTGCCCAAGCACTTCGATATGACAGATTCACATGCTTCTCTTGACTCTCGTATGTGATGTTTTAATTTGAATATTGGAGTATACATTGGATCTGAAGCTTATTATCTCTCATATCAGCAAAATGTGTTTGAAACAATCATTATTTCTAAAGAATTGCTTGCATGATTTATAATTTGCCAGAATAATTTTGTTCTTTTGGTACTTGCAGATGCATAATGGGGTGTCACAATTACATGATTTGCTTGAAGCCTTACTTGAATTATGCACTCTTGAAAATGTGAGTGAGATAAATTGACTATCGAACTTTCATATGCAATCTGTAGATTTATCTTTAATTATTACAAACCTTTGCATGTGAGATAAATTATTACAAACCTTTAATTATTGCAAACATTTGTCAACATGGCATAGAGTCTCTTAAATAACTGTTATAAGCGTGAGATGGATTGCAACAACTTAAAGGTTGCAGGTCAAAAGAACAATCCTTGTTGTTAACATTTGAACAAAGGACGAACACCAGTAAACTTCTCCTGGATGTGAGAAAAGAAATGTAGGGGCAAATTTTGCTGTAGGGAGCAACTTATTTCAAGGCATAGATGAGTTATAGAACCAAAGGAACAAACTCTGAGTCCTATAATTCATTTTCTGTGATCTTGTATAATAATTTAGTTATTTGAGCAAGGAGATTATACTTATTGCATGCTGATAAGTTCCAGAATGTTTCTATGTTCATTCAATTATTTATTAGATTACCTTCTTGAGTTCCTTCTCATGTTTTCTCTTTCCAAGAAAGGCTATTATTTTAGGGTTTCACATTATATCTGTGAGGTTGGCCAAGCAGCAAGAATCAATTCTGGATAAAGGCTTTTCTGCTTGGCTTGATGAGAAGATTTTGTTTCTCTTGCTAATACACTTAGCAGAAGTCATTTTAGTTGGCTAGAAGGATTCAACAATATGTGCTATACAAAGAAACCAAGACATGGAGTCATCAATAAATAATGAGATGACTATAGAATGCTTGTTTATAAATAATGTAGAAGAAATAGAATGATGTTAGACCATGAGAGTTTTATAGCTCTTGCCAGTGCTAAATCACCAGAAATGATCCATAAAGCGAAATTTTTTTGGTGGTGATACTGAAACTTGCATTTGGATAGATACTGCATATTCCTGATGGTGGATTTCTTATAGGCAATGGCCCCTTATTAGATAATTCTGATGTTTATCTACCATTTTTTATCTATTTACCTGTATGTCTTAAAGGAGGCACTGATTCCTAAATGTCCCTCCAGTTTAAAGCTGAAATACTGGAAGTGTGACTTTGGTAGAGCATAACAAAACTTGTAAATAGATTAGAATTGGTGGGAGTGCACTGAGCCCCCTTTTTAGTGCAAGCTTAATAGGTTGCATCAATGTTATGCATCTTCAATGAGTCCTGCCATAAAGAATGTGGGCCTAATCTGTTTACAGTCTGAAAAAAAAAGGCAGGGAATGTTTTGAAATGTTTGAATCTAACATGCTCTTCCTTGATTGTTATGTGAACCATACCCATCTTTCCATACAACAGTTTTTAACACACTTAACCAAGTGACAAATTAATTGGAAACATTTTGTCATAGTCAAAGTGGTAATGTTCTTGGAAGGAACGACTTAATGGGATCTTGTTTTTGCTTATAGGATTATTTTCCTAGGTGCTTGCATGTCGATGTACTTAGATCACTTTCTAAATATACCATGAAATGCTGTCAATGGATTTTGAAAATTACTTAAATGGTTTTACTGAGATGCCACTAGCTTCCATTGGTCTTTATTGTTGAATGCTGACTAGCATCCATAAAATACAATTGAAGTTCTCTTGTCTAACAAACTGCAAAATTCTTCTTGTTTGTTGCTCCACCAGAACTGTATAATTGTTCTGCCTTATAATACATGGATTTTTCTTTTTTGCAGGTTGTTGTTGTTCATAGATCCTTACGTATATTGCATATTTTCTTGCAACACTTGTTGAGTTATGAGAAAAGGTCCATCAAAAGGTACAATTGCTGCTTGAGCAAACTTGATCATTAGATCATTGATTTTACACTGACATGCAGAAATTCATGAAAAATTCTCTTTTGAGCCAACATTATCTAAATATTTATCATCTTCCTTTCCATTTTTGAATATTATATAAAAATGAAAATCATCTAAAATTGAGGAACTTTGATCCTGAAGTGTGTTATCTAGTTTTTGCTGGTAAAAATAAACAATGGATTCTCATGCATTAGTCATTGACTTCTGTGGGTGACCTATGAATGTCCAGTGCCCATTAGGATCTTACATTGTTTATAGCAAACCTTTCCAGCATTTTATAGAGCCCAACATTTGTTCTTTACAATATAAGCATCAATTTTCATCTTCAACTGCTTTTAGCATTGTTTTTTCTTAATATGATCTTATATATTTCTATCTACCTAGTGCATTCACAATTATGGAGTCTTTTTCTAGATGATGATTTCGCTCGTCAGAGAAGCATAAGACAGTGGTACACTGTGATTCATTTATACATTCCAGTATGCTACTATAGTTGAATTGGAGTAGTCTCTGAATGTTCAAAGGGTGTCTTTTTTTTTCATGTAAATGGTGAAAAAAAACCTTAGTTTACTACATTTTTCCTCAACAAAGACATGACAAAAACTAGTCAGACAGCATAAATCCTCAAAAAATTGCATTCACCTCTTCATCATGGGCTTCAACGCTTTGGGGCACTTATTCTTGATAACATAAAAACTTATGGCCAGGGAATATGTCTAATAATAGAACAAGGAACATATCTAATAACAGAGAAGGATTCAAGCTACAAAATGGTCTATACAGTGCACGGGGCTTCCCCTGATGTAGGACCTGGGGAGGGTCCATGTACAATGTTATATGAGTTTAAATGTATTTCTTCATCAGTGGACCCTTTAGACATTTTGATGTTACAGATAAAAGTTAGCAGTCATCTATTTAACCTTGCGACTAGAATGGGAGGTTTATAGGCTTGTATAGGTTTGCACTTGCCATATATGGTCCTTGGATCAGGTCATGCTGTTCTAAAGCACCTATTCTCTTTTGAATGTTGGTATAAGTTACAAATCTTAGGTTATTTAATTTCATTTCATCTGACAGTACTTGCATATTTGTGTGCTTATGGACTTCAAATTTGATTTTTTCCAGTGTACCCTGCTCAGGAATAACATTCTCGTTGGCCAACCTTTGAATGACAATATGCATAGAGGTCTGAGACATCAAGACTGGTATCAGAACATGGACATTCATCATAAAAGAACATATGGCGAGAATGAAAATTCAGGGTTACCAATGGCAGATATAAGTTCTTTTGATTTGGAAAATCTGTGCATGGACAAAGTGGGAAGTGACTGTGACATTAAGTTTCTTTCTTCAGAAAGTTTGGTTTCAATTTTTAAATGTATGCAGCTAGTAGCCATGAAGAATATGAAAGAGGATGTCCGAATTGAAGCCTTAGGTGTGATGATTCTTATTATGATGGAAAGTAACCCAAGTACAGAGAGGGATAAGTAAGTTGTACTTAACATTCAATCAGTATGAGTCATTTTCCCTTCTGTTTTATTTAGTTATTCACCTCCAGTATCATTGGAACTATGCTGCCACTTTTGGTACATGCAGGTTTGGGCTGATGTCGTTGTTGGAAGTTCTACCTAAGTTGCTTCAAAAGGAAGCTGGCCCACATGTACAAAAGCATGCTCTTCGTCTATTGTTCTTGCTCCTGAACTGTAAGTCCTCATCTTAGATATATTGTCAGCATTGCCTATCTTTATCTGCTTATGTAAAAGGATAAACTCTATTGATTAAATTATAAATACTTGGTCCCAAAGTTTCATCCGGTCTTTTCTAAGATATCCAACCTTCTTGTTGATCCCTTGAACAAATTATTAGTTTTGTTTTTTATGAAGATGTTGATCAATAATCTCTTTTCCATCGTGCACTAAATCTAGATATTCCAATGTTTTCTCAGTAGTGTGAGGAAAGAAACTGAAACAACTGTATGAACATTATGCAAACCTCATCTTATGTAATCAGCAACTTAACTAAGGTTCACTTGGTATTATGATCCAAAGTAACTAATAACTAATTGTATCCTCATGTACCATACATTAAGCTTAGTGGCACACCTAGTAAAATCACACATGACCAGCCCCCAGATGTTTAATGTTGTCATCCATCAATTGGTATTCTCATCTGTATCAACTGTAGCAACCATGCATACAGGTTCAACCTACCTGCAAATAGCATAACTAATCTTGCCATACTGGCACTTCAAAACCTATATACCATATTTTGTATACTGATGAACTATACTAAGACAACATACTGTTAAATGTGGGATGTGTCAGTATTTGAATCCTTGGTTCCACAGCAATGGGCCGTAAATCCTGTAAGGTGTTTGTGGAAATATACCACAGTGTCTTTGATATTTTTGCAACAGAGTACGAACTCAAGTCATTCAAATGACATTAATTTTTCAATCTATTTTTTCTTGCTAAAGAAATTTTATTCTCATTCAGATCTGATAATCATCTCTTTAAATTGTAGGTCCGAAGATGCTGTTACTGTTTTCTAATGGAGGTAAAGAGAATGATGAGCATGCAGAAACAGTTGATCATAGTGTTGCGCTAGAAGATGCAGTGAACTTGATTCTTGAGGGCTTGTCGAAATGTTTATTACCTGCTGGAACTGGTGATCTGGTAAGCTAACAGATTTTGCTTTGTATTTCTCTAACTAGGGCACAAATCAGTGAAAATTCTGGTGTTACTTCTTTTAATGTTAAAATCAATTTTGTTATTCCTAGCATATCATTTTGCTTATGAAGAGTTGTATCAAATAAGCTCTATTAATCTTTAGTTTAGTCATCCTGCATCTTATGATTTTATCTTCTAAAAGTTAACACCATATTTTTTTATCCTTTGATCATATAAGGTCTGCATTGGAATATAATTTCCTTCACCTCTATAATAATGAAAAGAATCTGATCATTTTTTCACTCTGGAAATTGTTGCTCCGTGAGCAAATGATTAGTTTGCAATGAGGGTTAATGCACCAGACTTAACACACCAGGTGTCCGTGCATGACTTTTGCCTAAAATTATGGTGTCTTTATTGCTACTAAGGAAAATTGCATGAAATTCAGGAAAATAAAAATGTGCACTGATGACATTGCAAATTTGAATGAGGTGGTTAAACATGTATTGATGCTTGCAAACTGATGATTCGTACATAGCTAATAATTCGTCCAATTCTGTTGTGCAATCTGCTAATGAGTACTTGTCTCATCTCTTTCTTCAGGCGGTATATTGATCAATCTGCTAGGATTATTGCCATTAAAAATCCCTGATATTTGACTGAGTTGGTACAGATTATAGTTAATGAGCAAATATTATCAAAGTTTATAAATTATACCATCACTCTTTTCCAATTAAATAATGGGTCAAAGATTTTAAGGATTTTTTCAAAAAAATTATCCATCTACTTCAATGCTGTTTTTTTTTTTTCACTTTTTCCCCTTCATGTTACTAAAATTACACCATATTTGATCATGAGAACTTTTAATACTAGATTCACTTGTTACTCCTCTCATTTCAAATCCAACAATTTGAGTCATTTGTGTTCATGTTTATTCAGTAACAGTAAAGATCCTAGCCATCATTGCCATAACTTTCATTGATGATACAATATATAAATATATTTCTGTGCAGTTTTGCCTCTGATGTCTGTGTTATATGTCCAAGTTATAGTTTGTTTTTATTGGAGTTCAGTTATTTCTGCAGTTTTCTGTTTCATCATGGTCCATCTATTTTTTCAGCTCATGTAGAAAGGGAATTTTTTTTTTCAGGAACTCAAGCTTCATAAACAAGCAATTATACTGTTAGCTTATGTAGCATCATGCGGGAAATCTGGTTTTGAAATACTTTTAAAGTCAGTAGGGCCTCGGGGTGTAAATTTCTTGCAGATAATTATACAAGTTTTGGCATCTGAGTTGGACATAGAGATTGCTGGTTGTGCCCTTCCTCGAACCCTCTGCAAGGAAAGGTAACTTAGATGTAGGAAGTAGATTTTGTTAGGAGCAAGCTGTCATAGCTATTACTTTTGATAGTAACCCAAAATGGTGATGCAGCAGTTGCAACAGCTAATGAAGTAACAAAGTTCAATTTTCAACATGTCTTGCTTAACTAGTAACACTGCACTGAATTAGTGCATTATTACTATACTCATTTTTTCTTGAAAGAATGCTATCAATTAAATGGTTCCCTAATTTTGAACTTAAACTTGAAAGGAACTAAAGAACTTTCAAGGATCCCCTTTTTTTAATGTTCAACAGAGTGTAGCTCATTCATTTTGAACAGTAAATTGGTTCGTACACATCTTCCAGCAGGGTTGCTTGTATGCCATCTTTATCGTCTTCTTGTTGGCTAAGTCTCAATGTTTTAAGATACCAATCTAGATACAAATAGTCTTACATCACATTATCCCGGTGTATAGGTTACCAATATCAAGAACCATTGTTTTGGCGACCGGAGACAAAAAAAATTCTGATATATTGCCTAGTTATATTGTCCAAAAAAGCAATAAAATTAGCAATGTCATGTGTTAATATTTTATTTTGACCCATATTTCAAATCAACTTGTTTGATATCAGTTCAAGTAATTAGGTCCACCATGTTCGATTTCTCCTATCTATTGGTGCCTGATGCATAGATAAACCAAGATTTAGTTTCCACCGGAAGGATTATACAAGAGAATAGATGTGACATCAATTTTTTTGTTGTGTACAGCAGTTTTATGTTTTCCTCTCCAAAGATGCCATCAGTCTGCAATTTTTTACTCTGATGCGTACCTCCTTAAATTGATATCACTTGTATTTCTTTGCAGGACCTCATTGTTCAGAGAGGCACTCATTCTCTTGAATCGATTAGCATCACATCCTATATATTCCAAAGCTACAATGGAAGCACTCACAAGCAGCAACCCGATTGCCAGCTTGACTGTTGATGTTGTGAGTAGGTTACCTCTTAGAAGCAAAAGTTTATTTAAGTATGATGATGCAATGAAGTCACAGATGGAGGCTGAGACCACAGATTTAGCACAGTTGTTTAGAACACGAGTTTTTGCCTTCGTAGGAGGAAAACATATCAGTTGATTACTCCGAGAGACGGTATGCAACTGGCTGTCAGCTAGTTTATTTCTCTGAGAAAGAATTCCTCTTTACCGAGAGCTCGTGCTGCACTGCAGACGGGAACTGTTTTTTGATGGTTTTGCATTACTTTTGCAGCCATGTTAAGCCGTATATAAGTTAAATGAGAATGTCGAAGGAGTTGGGGTCACGTAACGTAACACGATAGCATTATTAGTATTAGTTGATGGATAAACTGACCTTTTTTTGTCAAATTATGGAGTCTATTTATGGTTGAGAGTCACAAAATCTTGTACAACTAACCGGATGATGAAATGAAAATTTTGACTTGGCATGAGCATCAGGAGATATGTTCTTGCTTGAATCATTCTCAAGAGTGTTTTCAGAACTCATTAGTCTTGTTGATATCCTCATTTTGTACCACTTCTGGACCATAATGAAAAGAACTGTGAAAATTTCAGATTAGTGATGATTAAACATTTAAACCCTTCAATTGGCATATTGCCAAATCAAGATCTTGGAGGATTGATGATTGTAGTGATGATATTGAACCATAATAATCTGGCACCTTTTGCATCTTCTTGAATTGTGTTAACAAGTTCATCCAGGTCGGCAAAGAAAATAAATCACAAGATTTCACATGCTGCTTAGTTCCCCACTTCCAATTAATTGAGCAGTTACAGGAAACTCTGATCAACATTTGTTGGATCATAAAAAGCTTTAAATTGCTCTGAGAAGAGAGACAACACAGAGTCCTTTACTTGATCATCACCCAACCTGCCCTCAGTATTACAGACCATCTTCGATGCCTATTTGTTATCGTTCATGCTTCCATTGTGCGAAAACTTCATTACCAACAGTCTGGATTTTCAGATGTTTTCACCATGAAAAGAACAATTTATTACGATTCATAAACATGAAAAGAACAATTTATTACAATTCAATATCAATTAACCAAATCTCCATTTGTAGTACACGGAAAGGCAAAGTAAAAGAAAAGACTTCAGAAACTGAGAATTTCCGAGTAGATTATACATCAGATAGATCAAACGACCACAAGACTGATAATATACACAGCAGTTCGAGCTATACGGCTCTTGAGATCTATCATGCCTGCCTGATAAATGGTGAGGAGCTCAACTCTGTGGTGCTATAAAATGAATCCTCCATAAAATAATTCTCCTCATTTTCGTCCATCCACTTAAGCACCTCTCTCATATACTTGAAGGCTTCATCCACGGTTGGACGATCTCGAGCCCGTGCTTGCCAAACAAACAACTTCCGGTTGGTCAGCGAGACATAGAGGTCCTTAAACTTCATGGCAATGTAATAGTATGCCTGGTGCGCTAGACTCTGGTTGCTCTGGTGAGTCCTCACTGGGCGGAATTCCTTGAGCCACTCACAGGATGACAACGGCGCACGGTTTATCTTCTCTTCAAACAAGTCATACTTGTTGAGCACGAGCACAAATGGGGTGTCTTGGAAGCATGGTTGCCTGGGTAGAATAACCCAAGTCAACATGACTAGAAATAACAATTATATATGAAATCATGGATAACAACAATTATGTTATGGGTTTACTATTGAACTAACTAGGATAAATTAATTTCATTAATCTAACACTTAAACTTTGTATATTTCTAATCACAAAAGAAATTTTATCATCTTAATTCTTTTACCAATAGGACTGAGCTTCTACTAGCAAATTCCAGGCAACATCTCCAGAAATTAATACAAAAAAAAAAAAATTGAGAAAGTGAAGTAAACACCTGACTGTCGCCTCGAATAACTCCTTGCTCTGGATCATCTTATTCTGAAGAGGTTTACTACTGTCATTAGCGGCGGCGGCCAGTTGGTCGTAATCACTGAGTGCCACACAGAAGATTACTAGGCGGACATCTTCAAACATTTCCACCCACTTGCAGCTTTCATTCATCCCCTCGGCACTTACTCTAATCAGTTGGTATCTGACAAAGAAATGATGAGCAACAATGAGGAAAATATAAGAAATTGCTATAAGGAAACACAGGCAAGCACAAGAGGAAAATGTAGAACTACAGACTCAAACGGATGAGAGAGAGGCCAAAGATGAGCAGAATTTTCAGCATTATATGAGTGATAGGAACTTTTACCAAAACTTAAAAGACAGATCTTTCTTGAATATGAATCAGATCTTTTATTCTTTGAGTCACTTGTCTCTAGCTGTATTATGCTTAAGTTATGTATACACTTAGCTTTTTTGTGATAATTACTGATTATAACCATTGCTTGGTCATGTACACTGATCCATGTTACGTAGCTGATAACAACAGCAGAAAGGATAGATGATCGAATAGAGAAATTACTTGGTAAGTGGTTGGGAGTGAACATCAGGATTATCATTATAGAGTTCAGACATTGGACTGTGGTCATCAAGTGAGAACTCGATAAAGGCCAATCCATTCCCTTGAGTTACTCCTTCCGCATACAGTATATCTTTCTCTGAAGGCTCATACTCGTTGCTTGATACCTCAATCGCCTGCAAGAAAATATTTGACATACATAAACATATCTCAAACAATGTTAAACATTCTATTATGACCAGATTACTAAAATATTAACACCAGAGAATTTGAAACTATGTATTTTGGAGTTAAATTCTACCTTTTCTTGGCTATCTGTTGACTCACAGCACAAGATTTTCAATCTCTAGGGAAACAAATTACACGAACAGAAATTTCTATTTCTACCACTCTATTCTATCGCATGCTATCTCCAAAGCATACACTCATTTTGTTTAACAGATTAAATGGCTAGAAGCACTGCATGACACTTGGATCATGTGCTTCCATAAAAATATACAACCTCAATGGAACACTTATTTTTCCTCAAAGTTGTATCCACACTCCACGGCAACATTTACCATGACAGTTCAAGCAGGCAAGCACCTCAAAGTGACAAAAATAAATCACATCTCACAGAACCATGACAAGAGCCGTTATGAACAATCTTAAAAATTCAACTCTCATAGAAGTATCAGCATGTACAAGGATTTCAGAGATTGATTATGATCGGATTTTAGTTATCTACTTGTTCTTATTAAGAATGTGTTTTTTCTTTCTTTTTTTTTTTCTCAACTGTGAAACTTGAGCTGGTGTTTGCTTTTTGGTTATCTCAACTGTGAACTTGATCTGGTGTTTGTTTTTTTGGTAATCTTGACTGTGAACCTGATCTGCTGTTACTACTCTATTAGGTTAACAGGATGGTTGAAGACTAATTTTCAGGTTTCTTTTCAATTGAAGCCAGAGTGGAAGTTCTGGATAGTTTCAGAAAAGTTTCAGCTATTTTTAATTAAGTTATACTAAAATATAAGTTATATTAATATACATATATACACTATAACAAGAAGGAAGGAAAGATTAAAATGGGGAAATATCATGCATTATGGACAACAAGAAATATTAATAAGCAACTTAAGTGCAACCCTCCACCCTAACAAATTTATTATACCCCTCCTCTCTTTCCCTACACTAGCAATTGGGATGAGCTGGCATTTAAAGGGGTGTTATAAAAAACCTATTAGGTAGGGGATCATATAAAAATTAAAAACCCTACTATCTAATGCAATTCTATGACATTGTCTATGGTGTGAACTTATAAAAGCATAAACAAATAAGAAGGCATGAACCAATAAGAAAATTAAGGTTTTTTTGTTTCAAATGATAAGCAATAAAGGCAGGATTTAGTTCTAGGACCTTGCTATCAGTAGCCAAGGTATTTGCAAGTTAAGCTAGTTGATATATTCTAAATTTGTACCTTGCAGTTTCAAACTCTCTCAACCAAGGATGAGTCTCATAAGAAAATAAGTTCATTTAGAGAAAATAAAGATCTTTCAAGTATTTACTCATTGTCATGATATCATACCATTATCCTCAGAAGATAAATTAGTTCCATTGGGAATACATTATTCCATGAACTCCAACAAAACATACCAGTATCTTAGCTAACATGGAATCTATTGAATCGAAGGAAACTGGAAATATCAAAAATCTCTTATTTTACATGGATTTTAGTTTTAAAAAATGGTTTAGAAGAAACATGGAAGTTATACTAAATATGAGTACTATCATAGACAGGATCCAAATGTCCTCGGAAACGGATATAAATCTGAGCCAAATATTACAGCTACAAGAGAGTTAAAAGGGTGCCCCAGTGCATGAAGCTCCAGCATATGCATGGTCTGGGGTGATTGGAACCTGATCACCCAGATGCAACACCACTAACCAACAACATTTAGCAATGTTTATAAAAGAAGCAAGTGAAGGGAAGGCTTCTAGTGAATATTCAACACAATTTCATTTCTGCAACCCCACAATATTCACTGGACTAGCATGTATTAAAAAAATGAGTGAGCATATAAAAGCAGAAATATGCCTACTTCAACACTTTCAAGTCTTAAAATAAAGCACAAAGTGATATAAAAATTTTGAAAAAAGAGGTTTACCCACAAGAATGCAAAATCAATAATTAGTTGTTCTAACCTGCATTAATAACATTGTTTTATAACTCCTGCTAACAAGGATTCAAATACAAATAGGACTAGTACATACTAATTGGGACTAACCGGTCCTTGATCCATACAGCTCCTTACCGATCATTTTTTATTTGCATTATTTTCTTTTCAGTCATATGAAGTGGTACAGATCAGTGTGTCGTCTGGTATACTGATGCCATATTGGTCTTACAAGGTGTTGAAATCAGATTGAGAATTTAAACCTTACCTGCTAAAGAATAGTCTATTAAAATTAACGATTTGATCCCTTAAAACAGAATTCACGGAACAAATGTGGTACTTTTCACTTTAATTGACATCAAATGCTATGCATTTTGGAATAAAAAAACAACTTAATAATGTCATAAACCAACACCTTGCTCAAAAAGTATTCAGCAATATCTGGAAGATAGTGAAGCTCGTTTCTTCTCTTATATGTTTCCTGTATGGCAGGATCTTTCCACATCTCATCAACCAATGGAGCATACTCACGTGTTGCAGCAGGAAAAAAAGCATCCAAGTCCCCCATGGCAACGATGTCTAAAAGCCAGTCAGAGAACTGCTTCAACTTTCCATTGATAGAGTAAATACACTGATTTGGCCGACTAGTTTCACTTTCAACTTGACCTGAAATATGAATTGTTTGTAACCATTATATGGGATTCAAAGAGCAAAACCATTTGTTCTCTACCACAAAGATAAGTATCTAGAGAAAAAGATAAAGTCCAAAAGACGAGCTACACAAAAATAAATTTGAGTAGCCACCTCTGTTACAACTTATGAGGCTTCCAAAATGGTACAATGTCTGACATAATTTTAGTCATGAAAGTGGCCTTTGTCACAAGGTGCACAGGGTTTTCTTGATGGAAATCATTCGATGGATGGTGAACACAATGGGAATACATGCCAAAAGTAGGAAGATAAAGTTACTGTTAGGATATGCCCTCCATATTCTGCTGTAAAGGAAGGGGCAAATCAAAAAGCTAGTATCAATAAATGTAAATACAAATGTGCTACTCAGCAGTGATTTAAAAAGGCGCTCGGGCGAGGAGAGACGAGGCCTGAGCACCTCGCTTCACTTCCAGGCGGCGCGCTTCAAAGAGGCGCCGCTTGGGCGCTCGCCCGAGCCCAGGCGTTGGGCGCTTCAGGCGAGCGCCTGGGTTAAACCAGGCGACCGAACCAGCGTTTTAGGTCCGGTTCGGTCTCTGGTGCTTTAGTTGGTTCGATTGAACCAACTAAAGCACCGATATCAACTGTCGCTGCCCAACCCTAACCCTGCTCGTTGCCGCTGCCACTGCCGCTTCCGCTCCCGCTGCTCGCCGCTGTCGCTGCTCGCTACCGTTGCCGCTGTCGCCGCTACCGCTTCCTCTTTTCTCAGTCAGCACCCCCTTACACTCCTCTTCCTTCTTCTCCTTCTGTATACTATTAACAGTATACTAATAATAGTATTTGTATTTATTAGATTAATAATATATTATTTTGATTTTGTATCTTAAATTTTCTTAATTTAATAGCATATTTTTATTTAAAATTTTAAATAATTATATTTTTTTAATTATATTATATATTTTTTATATTTTAGCGTCTCGCTTCGCTCAGGCGAGCGCCTAGCGCCTCGGGCATTTTTGGACCTTGGCGCCTAGCGCTTTTTAAATCACTGCTACTCAGTAAAGAAATGTAAAGCAATGAACTCTTTAAAAAGTTATGTAATATAGTGGCTATGACCATGGTCATTAAATTGTAAAAAAGTGAACAATTATGTTTATGAAGTCTTAAGGATGTAGGGGGTAGCCTCAGCATCACAATAATGTTATCATTTGAGACTTGGGTAATTGAAGCTCGAGTCACGGAAACAATAAAGTTACATACATTAACTTTCCATGGACCTGAGATTGTGCATCAGATTTGCACTTTTTTAAATCTTAAGGGTGTGTTTGGTGCGAAAGATATAAGAATTTTTGGTGATACAATTCAATAATTTAGTAGGTTGAATGATGATAAATCATGCTCTTAGTGATTGAAACTGTCTTCTACAGCAAATAATGTAAAGATATTAATGAAACAAAATTATTCTTAAAATGCACAGTTGAGATTAGAATTTAAGAACTAGTTAAATTAAGCTAAATTTATTCTTTAGATAAGCTTAACAAAGGGATTTGCTTCAGGAGGGCAGGAAGGAAGGGGCGAGGAAGAGCTGGTGCACATATTACGAATAAATTTAGATAAGGACCATAACAAAGTCAAGCAACTGTTAGACAGTGCTGCAAAAATGAATGGTAAAACATATACATGCATATTACCTTCAGTGGAACTTTGATCATGTGAGCCTGTCCTTTCCAACCTAGCCAAGGCCTCCTCCTCAAAGCGCTCTCGTTCTTCAAGTAAAATACTTAGATATTTGTACATATTGCTTTGTATCATTAGCTTGATGTTCTCCAATTCTTCTTGAGAAAACTCATTTCCATACAAAAACTTCACCTATTCAAACATTGAGCCATCAAATGGAAGTCTAGACTAACTGGCATATTCATGACACATGCACGCACTTGCACGTTCATATAACTACAATATTCGGTTGTAATCATACAAAAGAAAACCAAATGGAACACAAAGGAATCAAAAGAAAACTAATTTTCATACAAAAATTTGCCTGGCCAAAACATTGAGCCATCAAATGTTAAATCTTGACTAAGCTGCATATATATAGCATAAAAAGGAAGCAAAGTTATATGGATCACAAATAAATCAGAAAAACAATCAAATCAATCTGAATCAAGTTATCAACTTCATTATGGACTTGAGAAACGTGTCAGGTGACTGAACTTTGTCACAGTTGTCTCTTCTGAAGTAATATACTGACATCCACTAGTATCTACTAGAGATAAAATATGCTCACTACAGTTGACCTGAATCCTAAGCTACGATAGTCGCCTCTTATTAAGAAAAATACTAACACCCATTATTATCTACTCCATTAAATTACAATTGATCTGAATCCTGACCTATAACCATTAGTGAAAGCAACACATACTGTTGAAAAGGATCTCTTCTTTGATCATGAAAAGACTATCACTTAGAACAATCAAACAAATGTGATTCTATATTACTAGCAACATACATGAATCATAACAGAGGAACTTGTAGGTTTCATATATTCATGATTAATTACATTTTTTTTGAAGTGATTTATTTATGCAGGTAGATATCCTAGAGTGCTTCACATAGTTGCATCACTTGAGATCCAATGCAAGAACAGCACATATTGCTATGAATCAACTGATAGTTCAACAAAAGTAATAAAAGAAGTTATTGGTGTAGGAGGACCAATGAAGGAAATAAAAGAAGGGCAGTAAGGAGGAGCTGAATTATGTCCAAAGCTGAAGGGTGCCTTTCTCATGATTTCTATAGCTTCACAGGTAAACTTATCTACGTACAAATCCTAGAAGCAAAGAGAACACAAATGCACAAGAATCATGCTGTACAAGTGGCCTAAATTGCACCCCTGCTTGCAAAAAGACGGCTCTGTGTCACAAAAGGAGACTATGAAAAAGAATGATAAAAATTTTGAACTTGTAGCTTTAAGAAAAAAAGGGATAGCAAAGTTTGGCAGGAAGAATGAAGCCATCTTTAGAACCTAATTTAGAAAAAATATCATAATCCTTGAAAAGTAATGATGTAGTATAAATGACAAAATAATTCATACAAACAAATTGTAAGCCACGAAGAAAGTTGGAATTTGACATATGAAAGACATAGAAGTTCTTTAGCACCTTACATAGCAAAGCTTTTAATAAATCTAAAAAAAATGATGTAACATGAAAAACCATACACCACCAAACTGCAATACCATTTAGAAAAGTGCAAGATCTGCATAAATATTTGGGTGCTGGAATTCCCCTATGTAGTTTGCTAATAATTTTGTTCAGGTCCAATTTGTATAAAGCTTATGTACAAGATCAAAAGATCTCCATGCAATCACTATCATACCTGCTTAAAGATGGTGCTTGTCCCAGATCCCTGTGGTCCAAGTAGCAAAAGCTTTTGGACTCTCTGCTCAAGGTAATCAGGTACAGGTCTGGCTACATAGGGAGCCTCATTTCTAGAGCCAGTTGGAACTGAATGAGGTACAGGTAAAGAAAATAAAGAACATGCCAATCTTGTCAATGTCTGCCAAGCAACAACATAAGTAGCAAGTAAAAAATTAGAACAACTATAATCCCAATCAGTTATGACAGATTATAATCATAATTCAGTCAGACGTATAAAAAAGAGAATGTTGAGTTATTGTTCACACCGATTCCCAGATATTTCCCCTGATATTATTTTGACCTTCCTCCTCATAGCGACCATCATCATATACCCAGAAATGTGTATCACGTGGGCATTGCACATTGGCAAACTGCAAAATTGGCATATGTTCAAAAGTTAGCAATTGAAGAATCAGATTGGAGATGAAAATCACTTTGGCAATATCAATAACAAATGATGCATACAGAAAACTAAAAGATCAAAGTTTACATTCCAATATAAAAAAATTCACATGTCACAGTCCAATTTTGTTTGTCTACTTCCTTGTTCTCATAGTTACAGTAAGTAATTGGTAATATAAGCAAGATAATACTTAACTAAAACTACAGTTGTTGAAAGAAGAAAAAGAAACAAAAGATATCAAACATAAATACCCTAAATAGGGACAGGATAACTAGTTTCAGACGGGTAAAAAGAACATGATTGAACATCGTGTGATCCAACAGGCAATGACTGGCCTAACTGGGATCACGAAATTGCTACATAACTGTATTATTTGATGTTATTTTCAGTGGATATGCCATAAAATTATTGGGACAGCAAATAAATATATAATAAAGGGAAGATAAACCAGGAACAAAAGGACGGTAATCTTGGTGCAGCCATAAACAATGCTGATTTGCCCTTATTCTCTCAGTATAGAAAGCTACATATCTTCAATTTTCTAAAACCAGGATCAAGGGACAACTTTGCATGCCACAATGATGACGACGACTGCTAATTGTAATACCCCAATGCACAACTCTGTGCAAACTTCACAAAATCATTCGTTCTTGAATACTAAATTGAAGTATAAACATATAAGGGACCATGCACCCCATAGTTGATAAATCATAATGGATAGCACCTACATATCATAAAACAAGTTCATTGTACATTGCATACAAGGTCAAACAAGTAGTGATATACACAATGATGTGCAAGACTCAAATTGAGAGACATTGATAAAAAACGATCATAAGTAGTAAGTAAACGCGGTGATGGTTTGAAACTCGGATGAAAGAAGGGGCAAACAATATCAACTATAATGGACATGAAGATTAACAAACTTCTGAATCTTCTGTGCCTAGTTATTAACATGATGTAAGAAAGTAGACTTTATATCAGTTCTCAACCTGAAGCATATCTGCAATAGATGAATCATAATATTTTCATGTGAGACACCAGGTTGGATGGATTAATGAGCCCCAAAAACTCATAAAGGATGAACCTAAATGAAAATTCACTGAAAGGGGATATAAGTAGGTACTAAGTAATGGTTGCTCGGCAACAAAAAGTGGCTACTGACTGCACCGAGTTTCTACCTTAAGCACCCTTCGTTCGACTCTTGTAATTTCCCTGCCATTGATATAAACTTCAGTATTCCCATTGCTTGCTTCAGCATGAAGCTTGCCAGTGAAATTCAAGTTAGAGCTGATGATTCTATCGGGTTTCTCGCCCTCCTGAAAAAGGAAGAAGCATAGGCAAAAGATCAGTTTCACAACAAGAAAAATGACAGTTCACAACAAGCACGTATTTTTAAGGTTCTTGCCTTCCCCCAGAAGCCTGACTCTTTGTCATACCAATAGCTTCCAGGCTTCAATTTTAGAGGTGGTATTTGACAACTGAGCAACTCTGCCATCTCTTCTGGCTTAAGTGGGAGTCCATTTACGATGAGTTGCTCTGGGCGGAGTTGATTTGCAGGGCATTCCTTTTCAGCTTTCAAGATTTGCCTGACTTCCAGCGGATTGAGAAGCCGGGACAACGTCCTCGAGCTCTTTCCTAATTTGGAACGCTTTGACTCATCAATTGGCTGGCCAATGCAACTAACACACTTGCGCCCCTCTGGCATTGATCCCATGGCTCTAAGCACACAGTAGCTGCAATACCTGGCATCACAGACCAGACAAGCTTCTTTGCTCTCCCACTTCCTCTTGCCACATCTATAGCACACCCTTTTCTTTTTGTCGTTCCAGGTAACTGCAACATATTGAGGAGAACCCTTCACATCTTCATAAATCTCCTTGCTTTCTGATTTCTCCTCAAAAGTGACAACAGAAGCCCTCCTCCCCTCATTTACTGGTTGGCTAGGCTGCCCATTCGGCATGCTATGGGCAGAAACTGGAGACCCCGAGCGGGAGTCATCGGAGAATTCTCCGTTCTGCAAGACTGAATCTACAGACTCGGAACTTCCTGATACCTGCGGGCTTCGCTGTGGGGGGTCAGCACAGCGAGCAATCCGAGAGACAGGCAAAGTAATTGGATCAACCACCGGGGGAAGGTCATCATTCACCAACCGATGAGAGCCAAGCACAGGCTCAGCCGTCGGAATCAAATCGACAGGGTCAACCCTCGGAAGCTCGTATGACACCGGCGGGCCATCATACTCGATGGCAATAGAGTAATCAAGGTTGGCCGGTGCCTCCGGGATGGGGGTGCCTGGAGGCAATATCCTCCGTAGCATCTCCTGCCAGCTATTTTCATCCATATTTTCGGACATTTCTCCAAGCTGAGCAATCGAGCCGGCAGCTTTTTGTTTGTCACTCTGATCACCGACCCGATGAAATACAGAAACCAGCCCCCCCCCCACAAAATCCAATCTTCAAAGCAGAAACGAGCAAATTTTGCAGTGATAACCTCAAAGACACAGAAATATACCGTAAAGAAAAAGAAGAAACCCAAGCTTTCGCCGTACCAAATAATCCGCAGACTTTTATTCAACAAAGCGGACTCCGGACAAGACCAAAAGGTTTCGGGAGCAGAATAAAACGTTTCCCTCCCCGCGGGGGATCCACCGCTGGAGCCGGAGAACCAGACTGGAGAGCGAGCACCTCGAATTGTTCCACTGGACCGGGTCCAAAGCGCCTCCTTTTCTGACGAAACGGAAGTAGAAAACTCGAACGCGTCCAGCAACCCTAGAAATCGGGCCCCGCGGAGAAAACCGAGTGCGGTGGTGGGGCGAGGGGGAAGACTGCGACGGAGTCCGACCAAGAGAGAAGGGGACTATTTGGCGTTCGGCATCGGGAACAACAGTCAATTCCACGGTGAGGACTGGCGGAGTGTTGGGTATTCTAGTGGGGCAGTTACTATCCCATTTATTGTCCACATCATCATTGACTTCCCTCAGCCGGCACATCCCGGCTCGGGGGCCCACCTAAATCCTTCGAGATCTGGTAAACAACTAATCAACGTAACATCATTACCCAATTGATCACCTTTTGACCATACTATTAATTATCCAATGGTTGATAAAAAAAGAAAAACTTTGACCATATTATTAATTTTTTTTGGGTTTTATCGTATTTTCTAGATAGATTTATATATTATTAACTATTATTATATTTCAAAAAAGTTTTTTTTTGGGGGGGGGACGAATAAGTACTTTTTAACTTATTGGTTGTGTTTGAGAATATATTTTATAATTTTAATATAAATTTTAAATATATACTGATGTAAGTTTTTTATTGTTTGGTAAAATTGTATTTCAAAAATCTATTGAATATTATGTGATAAATTAATCCATCTTATATTTTTAATATTTATTTAAAAGTATATATATATATATATATTATTTTTAATTAATAAGTAAATAAAATAAATGATTGCATGTAATTTTATAACAAATTTTGTGTGACCCAAATGCATAATAAATTAAAATATAATCATATAAATGGTTTTTAAAAATAAATAAGTAAAAAATTCACCTGAATAAATAAATCATAGGGTTATGGTTTTTATTATTTAGTGATAATCTTGTGATTCTATATAATATTATAAGATACTTTAGATAATTTAAAGAATCTTATTAATATCCTACAAATGCTGAAATGCACATTTCAAATGTGAATTGATGTTTAACAATTTTTTTAATTCACATTTTAGCTTGGATGCTGTATTACAAACGCTCAAATATTAATATTACCTTAGCATTAGTATTTGAAAATTTTCAAGACACCAGTATAATTTTTTTTTAATTCTCAAAATACTCTATGATATTATCTAAAATTGCAAGACTACTAATAAGATTTAGCTACAAGCCAATATGATTTATGTCTTATATAAGGTAGAATTTTATTTATTTATTTATTTATTTTTAAAAAAATATTTTACATTCATTTATATGATTATTTATTTATTATATCTCATCCATAAAAAAATTTATATTATTTTTTTTATTTTTTTATTTATTAAAAATATATATTTATTTTATTTATTAATAAATGTTAAAATATAATTTTACCAAATAATTACTTACATCAATATATTTTGAAAAGAATTTATCAAATATCAATTTATATTTAAAAGATACATTAATGACGAAGTATGAAGCTCAATCAAATCTTTTATGATTGCATCAATTTCGAGGTAGGCCTCATCAAAGATCATAAACTTTTTTAAGCCCAAGGGTTGACTAAGTCAAAATAAGATTAATAAAATATATAATAATAAAAATTATCATTATGAAGAAATCAGTACTCCTTTGAATAAATTTTGGAGTCAAGTAAACTTATTAAATATTGGTCGACCAAATAGTGGAAATTTTATGATTGATGAAATTAAATCAAATAAGCTCATATTTGAAACATGATTAAATGATCTGGTCTCATTAGACCAGTCAAAATTATACATCGAGTTAAAATTATTTTAGTTAGCAGTTGATCTAGTAACGTCAAAATAGACTCAACTCACACATCACAATCTTCCCCTTAATCTTTGGTTTCAGTCTCAAACAATATTCTATCTCAGTTTGAATATAAGCCATGATAAACTATAGTTTTATATGAAATAATCCCTTTCAATATACATAAGTTGTTATCTCACAAATAATAAGAATTTAGAATAAGATAACATGCTTTCAAATAAATACCAAAATTTTAAGCTACACTTTAAAAAAAATAAAAGGATGAATTCTTATAAACAAGTTTTAATTTTTTTAAAAAAAATTGTAAAATATTTCTGTAACGGTTATTATTAAATATCTTATTTAATAATAACGTAACCATTCTTATTAAAATTCATAATTCATTATCATGAATTTCTTCATTTATTATGGTTAAAATGATTTCAGTTTCTTATTCTTTATGCATGAAACCGTTATTATTAAATTAAATATTTAATATCATTAAGTTCTTCATTATGGTTCAAACGTTACAAATTTGAATTAATTTTTGAACGTTATGAGTTGGTGATGATAAATGTTCTTGATGGGAGAACATCTATATATACATGAGGATTCTGGTCCCTTGGCTCAATCATCTCTTTGAAGCGAAAGGCTTTCCTACACCATCTAAAGCGAGAGTTCTGAGCCGAGAAGAACCAAAGTTCAAGAAGAAACCTCTGCAGAAATTCTTGGCGACAATGGCTGGAGGTACGCTATTTCGTTTCCGCATTAGTTTTATTGTGTTTCTATTACAATGATTTAGAAACACAAGTTGACTTCATTAAAATTTCTTACATTTGGTATCAGAGCGGAATGACCTCTGCCTTGATATGAAAAAGTTTTCATTTTTATGTCATGAAAATGATTTGATTTTGGTTTCTTCTTGGAAACTTGTTGATATATTTTGTTGAAAATCATGAGGAAATATCATTTTCAATATTTTTAGTCGGTAAAATGCTCATATTATGTATGCATATTTAGTTATATTAAATTATGTTTATGAGCAATTTTTTTATGTTTAAAATGTCTAGTGATCCATATAATCTTAATTAATTAAGAATTAGCCATAGCATCCTTAATTAATTAAAATTATATATAAAGTT